GTCCCCTGCATCGGCAGGCGGACTCTCAACCACTGCGCCACCAGGGAAGCCCGTGTGTTTTTTTTAAATTCTCTTCCTCATCTGTCCCCTCATTTAAACCCTAAAATTATATCTTAACAGCCATTGACTCCTCCCCTCCTATCCATTTTTAGTAAAGACACGAGACATTAGATTCTGATCTTTTCCCTTTTAGGATGATATTTATTTTAAAATAGCATTTGGGTTCTTTCTTTCCTCCTTAAAAGTAGAATTAGACCTCATTCGAACTTGGTGTTTGTTTTTATGGATGTTTGATCCATACACTTTTCAGTCATTTTTCGCACAGCGAGCAGGATCTGGCAGTCAGCAGCACAGAAGCAGGAGTCCTGTGTTTTACATGCGAGCTGTGTAGGTTTTCAGAGGCTCCGTCAGCATCTGTGTAAAATGGTGGTGGGGGGGGTGCGGTAATTGTCTCAGCCTGCCTCCTATGACTGTCACATTCAATGGGGACATGTACTTAGCTACTTCACAAATGATAGAGGGATTTAAAAAAAAAACTCCTCTCTGCTGGTAGGTGTCAGGACAGTGCTTATCTGTGGAATGGCAAAGGGACACGGGGCTTCTGGGAGCTGGCAATGTTCTTTGTCTACCTGCTGGTCCCACAGGTATATTTGACTTCGAGGAAGCGACTGACACTGTGCAGTTAGGATTTGTGCACCTCTGTGTATCACACTTCAATTTAAGTTTACCGAAAAACAGCAAAAACTAAAAAAAACCAAAATGACAGTGGGCTCTACGAATGTCCAGCAGCTTTGTTACGGCAGGCTGTCACTGGAGCCCAGCCTGGGGGCAGTTTCAGATGTCCCATTTGGGTTATGCAGCCCCAGTATCTAATGCACAGTGAAGGATGCCTCTTGTCTGGCCATGGTCTTAGATGTACAGTGTTGGTTTGTGTCTGTCCTTGTTATTATAAGCAGTTGCACAGTGTAAAGATTATGGGTATCAAGTCACCTGGGGGTCTCACTGCCCCTCTGCTGGTGCAGCCAGGCCGCCGCCATCTGCTTGAGGCTCTTCCATCTCACTTGGCTCTGTGTCCTCGGATGAGGACCTCAGGAAAGCCTTTTCTGATTTGATCTCGCATCAGGAATTTCTTTCACATAAGCCTTTTATCTTCAATTTATCCTATTACATGTTTTAATACAAAACAATGAGTCCCTGTAATCTGTGAAAATCCTCCTTGAAAGGAAACCAGTGGATCTGGTTTGAAATGCAGCTGACATGAAAAAGAAAGCTCTGTGGAGTGGCACTGGTCGTCTCATTCTTTTGCAGGAAATCGTCAGCAAGCTGCCATTCATCAAGCTGTCCTTAGATGACTTCCCAGACAACAAGGACATCCACAGCGACCTGCACGCCTACGTCCAGCACAGGGTCCACAGCAGCCAGGACATCCTCAGCAACATCTCTCTGAATGGCAAGGCCGACGCCGCCCTCATCGGGAAAGTGAGCAGCCACCTGGTGCTGCGGAGCCTCGGCTCCTACCTGTACCTCAAACTCACCTTGGACCTCTTCCAGAGGGGACACCTGGTCATCAAGAGCGCCAGCTACAAGGTGGTACCCGTGTCGCTGTCTGAGCTCTACCTGCTGCTCTGCAACATGAAGTTCCTGACCCAGTCCGCCTTTGAGAGGGCGCTGCCCATTTTAAACGTGACCCTCGCGTCCCTCCACCCCATGACAGACGAGCAGATCTTCCAGGCGATTAACGCCGGCCACATCCAAGGGGAGCAGGGCTGGGAGGACTTTCAGCAGAGGATGGATGCCCTCTCCTGCTTCCTCATTAAGAGGCGAGACAAAACCCGCATGTTCTGCCACCCGTCCTTCAGGGAGTGGCTCGTGTGGAGGGCAGATGGTGAAAACACGGCCTTCCTGTGTGAACCCAGGTACGACGGGCAGCTCTGTGCAGGGAGTCTGATGTGTGACTGGGGAAGGGATTCCAAACACTAGTTGTGTTCTTTAACAGAAAGACAATACAGCATGAATAATTCAGGAAGGGTGATGGAAAATTCTCTCTGCTGCTACAATAAAAGCTTCCTTCCTTTAACTGCTGGAATTTTAGGACTCCTCAGTACATTTGGACGAAAGAGAAGCTCGGCAGTGCCCGGGCCATATTTCTCTGGTGATTCTCTTCTAGATCCCTGCCTCCCTTGCACATGGGTTACCCGTGGGAGAGTGTGGCATTAGCTGCAGGGAACAGCCGGCTTCCTTCGAGCCTGTTGACGGCTCAGTTTCTTCACCAGAGGGTCTGTGGACTGTCTCGCATCCTCGGTGCTGCCACTCTCCACCACCTCCTGAGCTTGTGGCATCTTGTCCCAGAGATCTGATGTGTCTGCGGGCCCAGAGGGCAGCACAGCCATCACGTCTGGCCTCCTCGTTTTGTATTTGTGTTCTGCACCATGTAACAGACTGGGATTTGGGGTCGGGAGGATTCAGGTTCGGAGCTCAGATGCCCCACTTACAAGATGGCGATGGGGCACCTGCATCCGGGGAGTCAGAGGTTCCACTGAGGCTTTGTAGCAGGGCTGGGCCAGGATGCAGGTCTCCTCACCACCCAGGGTGAGACGGGTGGGAAGCCTGCCTGCCCTGTGGCATATGGTGCCAGTCAGGGTGAAAGACTGGGCACTCCAAGGTGCGAACGCTCTCAGTAAAGGTGTGTTCATGTCCACCACCTCTCCCTGGCCCTGGCCTTGGTCGGCATCATTGCTGTCTTTTTTTTTTTTTTTTTTTTTTTTCTTTTTTGGCTGCGTTGGGTCTTCATTGCTGAGCGCGGGCTGCTCTTCGTTGCCGTGTGTGGGCTTCTCATTGCGGTGGCTTCTCTGGTTGGGGAGCACGGGCTCTAGGTGCGTGGGCTTCAGTAGTTGTGGCACGTGGGCTCAGTAGTTGTGGCGCGCAGGCTCAGTAGTTGTGGTGCACGGACTTAGTTGCTCCACGGCGTGTGGGATCTTCCCAGACCAGGGCTCGAACCTGTGTTCCCTGCATTGGCAGGTGGATTCTTAACCACTGTGTCACCAGGGAAGTCCATCATTTCTGTCTTGAATGGCTTCTGCCCTCTGTGAGTCAGAATTGCTCCCAGCCTCGTGTAAGAGGTCTGACAAGCTGCTAAACCGTCTGCTTTGGGCTGGACTGGACCTTGCATCAGATGCTGGGGCCAGAGATGAAATGAATATGCACTTGTGAGCCGCACACTCCCTTCCTTCCATGACTGTTGACTTAACATTGACACACTAGGTCTAGCAGCTCTTTTCATGTTGTGGATGAGGTGTTTTCTTAGGCAACACTGGGCTAAGAGTTTATTATCTTTTGAACCTGCTTTGGGGCTATAAACTATAAGTTCCAGCTTATTTAGCCAGACCGTAATAACTAGGTGAAATGTGTGCCGTGACATGTTTAGCCAAATTAGATCATTTTCTAGGAGGATAGTGAGGTGGAGGCCAGCCTTGCTGACATGAGATAGATGGGCCTGGCTTGGCCTGTGGGCATAGTCGAGCAGAAGGAGGTGCTGTATGTAGGTCACACTGAGGTGTTAAGCTTCAGAAACTAGGAATGGCATTGCTCTTAGAGTGGATAAGAAAGGCATGGGCGGCTTTGGATTTTAGCAGTTTGAGTTTATGGGGTTGGTGGTGAGGCTCTGAGGCAGGTGGGGTCTAAACGGTTGGAGGAGAGGTTGGCGTTGAAGATCTGGCATCATTGGTGGAGAGGCAATGGTGGGATGTAGTGAGGAATTGCAGCGAGAGGAAAGGGAGCTCTGGACTTCTGGGACAAGGAGGATTGCACGGAAGGAGGTGAGGGGAGTATGTGCTGCCAAGAAGTGAAGGAAGGTGAGGATGAAGGGGAAGCCATTGGCTTTTCATTGTGGGAGGAGGGTCCTAGATCCTTAGGAGATTCCTTCCATTGGGTTGTGAGGCGTGAAAGAGGCTCTCATCTGAGAGGGGAAACCGAAGCTTGAGGTCTGGGAGGTGGTGTGTGTGATGGAGCACAGGGTATGTGCTCTAGACCCTGACAGGACGCGAGGCAGGACACTCAGTGGCAGTGTGGTCTTAAATGTCATGCCTTCCCCTGCAGGATAAAAAGCAATCTCGTGGTTTCCACCTGCCCTGATTTCCTCGTCTGTAACATGATTTATACTTGATATGAGAAACAGGCAAGCATCTGCATAGGTAAATATGATTTAAATGATGAATGCTTTTAATCCTCTAGATCAGTGACTACTAGAAAACACATTTAGAAGAGTGCTTTTCTTTTTCACAGTTTATCCTTTCCTCCACAACTAGCTGCTTTTCCTCAGCAAAACAGCACTTCAAAGTTTGTCAGGTTAATAGAAATGAAAATAATTCACCCTGCACAGAGGTCACTGCTGTGACCTTGGAATAAGCAGCCCTTAGTATCTTTTCCAAACAGATTGCCTCAGAAAAAGGCATGGAGTCCACAGGAGACAGAATGAGTCCTACAGATGTAGAGGGGAAAGTGGGTAGGATGGCTCCTTCATGAGAGGGTTAGTTGGGGGATTAATTGGTGGTGTCAGTTGAATGTCCACCCTGTGCCCAGACGCAGCAAACCTACTCATACAGCTTAGCTTTTTTATCCCTACAAGGAAGGATCTGTGTTCCATTCAAGCCTAGAATTCTAGGTGTTTCTGATCACGAGCTATTGCTATACATGGCCTGGTTTTTCTTTCCCTTCCATTGTAAGGCCTTGTCCTTTGGCCCAGGTCTGTCCCCAGTGGTGATAATACTGAGGGGAGGCCCGAACGTCAGGTCCAGCGATGGTTCTGCTCCATTTGTCCACTTGCGCATTTGTCCTTCGTCCATCCATCCAAGAAATGCGTGTTTGCGTTCTTACTGAGTCTTGGGCATTTGCTAGGTTTTGTGGCTATAGCTGTGACTTAGACAAGACCCTTAGTCACGTGGAGTTTACACTTTTGTGACAGACCTAAATCAACAAATAAACTGATGAGAGAGTGATGGAGGATGAATAGGGGGCAGGTGGTTCCATCTTCACAGACCTGCCCTGTCCAGAGGCTTCTCTCTGAGTCACTCCACAGAGATAGGGGAATCCTGAGAAAGCCCTTAAAATGACTCGAGGAATAAACAGCATTGACCATCTTCTGTGAAGGAGCAGCTTTCCACCCGTTTTGTTCGGTGATGCTGAAGCACCAGGAGAACAGTTCAGGGGTCGAGGGGTGATGTTCGCCCCGAGGGCCTGCAGAGAGATGGACTCGGGTCTTTGGTTACCAACCTGTGTGTTTCTCGTCCTAGGAACGGGCATGCTCTCCTGGCATTCATGTTCTCGAGGCAGGAGGGCAAGCTGACCCGCCAGCAGACCATGGAGCTCGGCCATCACATCCTGAAGGCACACATTTTCAAGGTGAGACCCACACCACTGCAGGGAGTAGCCCTCCATGAGCCTCATTCCCAGCACAGCCTCCTCCCTAAAAGTAATTGTTCTCGCTCAAGTGTATGTCTACCGCTATGACTAAATTTTACTTTTTCCCTCTCTAAATCTTTTCTTTTCACTTAAAGTTTCCACTTCATTCATTCCCTTTGTTTCCTTGTTATTTAGTTGTTGAAGATCCAGATTTCATGACCTGTGTAGTTTCATACCACCTGGATTTTCTGATTGTGTCCTTATTTCTTATGGCCTATGTTAACGTCTTCCTCTTTCCTCTGGATTTTTTATCATTTGGTATTTATATCAAGCGGCTTAATCAGGTTCAGGTTTGATCCCCACCCCCTCTGCCCCTTCGGGTGTCACAATTACTTTATACAGGTAAACCTTGTTTTATTGCACTTTGCTTTATTGTGCTTTGCAATTTTTTTTTTTTTTTTTTTTTCCCACAAATTGACGGTCTGTGGCAACCCTGCCTTGAGCTAGACTTTTGGGACCATTTTTCCAACAGCATTTGCTTACTTCATGTCTCTGTGTCACATTTTGGAAATTCTTGCAATATTGCAAACTTTTTCATTATCACTTGTGGTGGTGATATGTGATCAGTGATCTTTGATGTTACTACTATGACTTACCGAAGTCTCAGATGATGGTTAGCGTTTTTTAGCAATAAAGTATTTTTAAATTAAGGTATGCACATTGTTTTGGACAATGCTGTTGCACACTGAATAGACTACAGTATAGTGTAAACATAACTTGCATGTGCACCAGGAAACCAAAAAAATTGCATGACTCGGTTTATTGCTGTGATCTGGAGCCAGACCCACAGTATCTTCGAGGTCTGCCTGTTAGATTTAAAATGCTCTGTAAGTCTGTATAAGGTTTCCAGTGTCAGGATGCGTAGCATGTGTGCTTGGTGTGATGCCATTGGCCACGATTGGTCTCTTCCTTCATTAGGGGTTCCAGATGGTGATATTCTAACATTTATTCTTCCTTTAATTGATTGGAGAAACTCTGTAAAGAGAAACTTTCTCCTCATCTGCCCCCGCCCTTTCCCCAGGCATACAGCTGATGCAGGCTGGTTCCTCAACCCTTGGCTTTAGGGCGGGAAGGCTCACAGGTTCAGGCCTTTTCTGCCCCGCGTTCAGCAGGGCCCTGCGCCCTCCCGGGCACACCCGCTTTCAGACCCACACTGCAGGTGGGAAAGGAGACCTGGAAGCTGATTTGTCGCTGTTGCTTCCAGGGCCTCAGTAAGAAGACTGGAATCTCTTCAAGCCATCTGCAAGCCCTGTGGATTGGGTACAGCACCGAGGGGCTGTCTGCCGCCCTGGCCTCCCTCAGGAATCTCTACACTCCCAATGTGAAGGTAAGTGACCCTCTGCCGGGAGGGCCAGAGCCCCCTGCCCCACTGGCCGCTGTTGCTCCAGCAGTCCTGCTCTCCCCAGCACTGCCTGGTGGCCAGAGAAGGCTGGGACGCTACTACTAAAGATGCTGTTTCCCGATGGAAAAAGCACACAGACCTGAATATGCTCTATTGCCGGTTCTCCTATACAAGTTTAGCCTTCACTGGGGCAGGAAGAGGTGGGTGGTCAGGGGCTGCTATGTGAGCATGTGGTGACTGTTGCAGAGTGGATGAGATAAGGGAAGCAATTCACAAAGGAAACCAAAGGTCAGAGGAAACCCTGGTCAGATATCCAGGGAAAATGGACTTTTAAGGTGTCCTGGTTTCAAATCTGGTCTGGTTTCAAATCTGAAAATGGACTTTTAAGGTGTCCTGGTTTCGAATCTTTATGGTTCGCAGGAAATTAAGCACTGATGAGTTAACACAAAGTGGTGGGCACACAGAGGGAAACTGTTACTAAAGGTTTTGTGCACGTGTGTATTCATGACCACGAAAAGCGTATCAGGGTCTGCCCGCTGCTGAA